TGGTAAATGAATTTGTTTCGCACTGCAAACGGGTTTTGGGACAGGGCAATATCCTACGCATGACTGTCTTAGCCAATTGAAACTAGCAAGACGCGCTCGAAGCACTCCACCCAAGATCAAATTGCTGTTCAGACCATCCAAGCACGCAATCCTCCTCAAGTCAGGAAATCACCCAAAACAATCGCTAGTAAGGAACACCACTTCCAAGGGATCGGCAACAATGGGCGACGCAGGCTTCCCCTTCATCACACCCCCAGGCTCAAGCTCGGGCACACTCAGCATCCGCAAGCCATCAATAACAAGTCCCTCAACTTCAGACCAAAGTCGAACAAGTCAAAGAAGCGGATCCCGCTCCCCATTCACAAACAGATCCGACAAAAGCCTGCGCGATCTAGCCGGGCACTGGATGCTCAACCCTTCCCTATCATCAACAAACACCACATTCAATGATGTCACTCATTCGCCCCCTTCCAATATAACAATCACCCAATCCCACTACCCATCCCAAATCTTTGTGAAATTCTTCCCATCGCCAGAGAGCCGTTTTCAAAGCACGGAACGTTGGTTCCCGCCTCAAAAACCCGGACAATGGAGTGATTGGAACACGGATTTTGAGGGCACGAGGTCGAGGTCTCGGTGGGTGAGGGGTGATCAGTTTGAGCAGAAGGATGGGATTGAGTTTTTGACGCATGGACTTTCGAGGTTGGGGGAGTTTTTTGAGGCGGAGATTGAGGGGAGAGGTGGGAAATGGAGGATGGGACAGGTTTGGTTTGTGCAGAGGGGGAGTCAGTTGGTGAGGAGGTTTGTGAGGTTTGATGAAGGGGAAGAGGAGGACGAGGAGGAGAGGAGTGAGAGGGAGGATGTTTGGGAGTTTGTGCGGACGTGATGATGATGGATACAGTAAGAACTGTTAGTAAGACTGATGATTCCTGATTCTTGGTTATTATTCCGTTTTGTTTCATTGCGACCATGTAGAGCGTGGCGGCACCTCTCACTCACAGCTACTGCTCTCTGGGAAGTACAGTCGGAAGTCTTGTGTTGATGACAATTTCAGAAATGACTGACATCCGCGGACGGTTCTCTGGTCAACAGCATGAGAAGGGCCCATTGAGACTCAGAATGTTCGTTTACAACGGTTGAGGTAGACATACACAACAGAAAGGAAAGACACCCCGAGCCAGCGCTTAAGCCAGTTGACACAGTGAAGCGCAAATTGGCACACAATGGTGCAGATAAGCACAGTGCTTTCCATGCGAATGGGTATATATATCTACATACCGACAATTCCATCTATCAACCCTGCAGCGTTTGCTTTCTTCATATTACAATCATGACGTAAGCATCATCTAGTCTTCATCCCAGTTCGGGTTTGGACCAGGAGGCTTAGGTCCACCAGCTTGCCTTGCCACTATAATTTGGTCGACAGACAGCACAGTCCGCGCTGATTCAGTCGCGAGCTTGATTGCCCAAGACTTCGAGATCATAAGATCCAGAATACCTTCCTCCTCGACGTCGATGGTGCCAGAGCCTGATACACCGCTGTTGTCGAGGTCAACACCAAGACATGGAATCTCCTCGTCTTCGTCGCTGTTTAACGTCTGTTGGTGATGTGCTGTGTATAGCTTGGCCAGAACTTCTGTGGCATCGAGACCAGCAGATTCTGCAAGTGTGCGTGGGATCACTTCGAAAGCTTCGGCATATTTCCGTATCGCGTATTGTGCTAGGCCAGATGTCTTGTCTGCGAGGGCGGTGATGCGTTCGATGAGTTGCATTTCTGTCGCGCCTGCTCCTGGTACTAATCGTGGATCTCTGGTGATAGCCTTCACGACGTTGACACCGTCATCCACGGCTCGCTCGACATCGTCCAGGTGGTTTTGCGTGGCTCCTCGAAGGACAAGAGTAGCTGTCCTTGTCTGCTCGTTTTCTTGTCTGAACACCGTTACGCGATCGCCACCAATCTCCAGGGTCTCGACGATGTCGACGCTGCCCATCTCGTCTGGCATCGGTGCGCCGAGTCTTGCGAGAGGTGTGGCGCCGACGACACGGCACAGCCGCCGAAGCTCGAATTTGGAAAGCACTTTGATGACCAGAAT